TGTATCTGTAGGCACTGCATACGGCTCCGTAATAGGACCTTTAGACTACATTATCTATGTAAATAGTCTGGCTAATATTATCAGGCGATGTGAAATGTACCAGTATGCTGATGATACTTGCTTGGTTGCGGCTGGGAGCAGTATAAACGACACTCTCAACCTCCTACAAGACGATTTTAATATACTTATGAAGTGGTCACATGATAAAGGATTAGTCTTAAATGCTGCGAAGACTAAGTTAATGTACATTAGCTCTAGTCAAAATAGGAGTAAGGTTATACCTAGGCTCACTGCGTATGACCACCAATGCCTTCACAGACGACAGGTCCAACCGAAATGTAACTGCAAATACATAGACCTGGTAGAATCACAGACCTACTTACGACTCGTGATAGATAGTCGCCTAAATTGGAAAGAGCATATTGATCATGTATGTGATAAACTTCGTGGTATGCTTGCAAAATTTTCTATAATTAAATATAAAATTCCGTATAAAATACGTATACAGCTACATAAATCACTGGTAGAGTCAAAAGTAGCATACGGTTTGTCTAGCTATGGTAGAACGTACAGATCACATTTAGAACGTATTTATCTTACGTATTTTAAAAACTATAGTCCCGGATAGTATTAAAAACCAGTATAAAGAATCAGATTACCACAACCTTTTTAGTCATTGCAAAATTATACCTATACACGAAAAGGTAAAGTTTACCCTTCTTATAGAAGAATTTTTCCATGAATAGTTAAAAATTGCACATAGATGTGAATACTCTAAAACTCGCAACTCAGGAAAACCTAAACTAACCTTACCTAAATACAATAATTTGTATGGTAAACGTACCTTAGAATATATTATTCCTAACCTAATTAACCAGCTACCAGTATCAGTAAAATAAACTAAATCAAAAAAATATTAAATTAAAATTAAAAAATTACTTTATGGAATGCATTACTAATAATTTAAATTATACATAATATGTTTTTAATAATAAATACTACGATAACGCCCTAAAACAAGCACCCTGTATAAAATATAGGATCCATGCGCGGTGCATTATGCAATAGGTTACGCAATTAACTAATAAAGTACTAATTGTATTTCTTTTTTCTTACTACAACCTCATATTTGTTATTGTCGGTGATACCGGTACACGGTAAAGTTTCTATAAACTTATGATTGTACCGTAACGTAATGTGTAATTAAGGAATGTAATAATATATTAAATAAATAAATAAAAAACACGACGTTTTTATACGTGGTAGAGCCACTCTGCTGTTATATCATGGTTGTAGCCTAAATGGGTCGGCTAGACCGGGGAAGTACCACGCTCTCATAGAATACCAGCGTAAAACAGCAGCTTAATACTGATGTATTTCGTATGGTGGGTGGAAACGGGAGACCATTTTACACATAATAAAACTTCATCATGCTGGTATTTTACGCTCGTATTCTGTGAAAGTTCTATGTTTGCCATCAAACATCTGTGCTTGCTCTGCTGTATTCCCGCCTGAAGAGAATAAAGAGCCAGTATAATTACAGGCTGTTTGCCATTCCACCTTGATCCTCAGTGTGACGAATGCATCTGTTGTCTTCTTTATTTGTTGTAGGCTCTATGGTATGGCTCTCAGTAGTCAATTACCATAACATTTTTTTTATAGGATAGGGTGACAATCGAGCACACAGTCCACCTGATGGTAAGTGGTTGCTGTGGCCCATAGACATCTACATCTATCCTCGATTACGAATCAAAATGCAGATGTGTTGTCACCCGTGAGGACTAAGATGGAATGCCTCGTTTCCAGTAAAATGGGTCGCCGGTTCTCTACACTCACCATACGAAATACAGCAGCATTAAGCTACTATTTCACGCTGGTATTCTGTGAGAGCGTGGTCCTTCCCCCGGTCGAGCGGACCCATTCGTGCTACAACTATACATCTAATATAACTGATGCATGGCTCTACCTCGTAAGAAACATGAACTGTAACTGTGTTTCATACGTGGTAGAGCCACGCTGCAGCTGTATTATGGTTGTAGCACGGATGGGTCGGCTCGACTGGGAAAGTACCACGCGGCGGGGAATTACTCACAGAATATCAGCGTAAAATAGCAGCTTGCTGCTGTCTATCGTATAGTGAGTGTAGAGAACCGGAGACCTTTTTTGATAAAAAAGAGGCATTCCATCTTAGTCTTCACGGCTAACAACGCATCTACATTTGGATTCGCAAACGGCGATTGATATAGGTGTGTTAGTGTGTGTGTTAGTGGGATTTAGAAGTGATTGCTGTGGCCCATAGACATCTACACCTATCCTCAATTAAGAATCGAAATGCAGATGCGTTGTCACCCCCGAGAACTAAGATGTAATGCCTCGTCTCCAATGAAAAGGGTCTCCAGTTCTCTACACTCACCATACGAAACACGGTAGCATTAGGCTGTTATTGTACGCTGGTATTCTGTGAGAGCGTGGTCCTTTTCGGTCGCGACGACTTATTCGTACCACAACTATAATATAACTGCAGTATGGCTCTACCGCATCAACATTTAATTTAATAATAATTGTTTTATAATACATAACAAATGAGATCATTGTCCTCCAGCAGCTAGTAAGTGTTATGGCAGATCTAAACATAAAACGCATAGGTGCGTTTTAGCGACTGAGAAAATAATGCCTTAATTTAATTTCATGCACGTCAAGCCAGAACGAACTCCTGTGCCTGATTACTCTTCAGTCGTATCGGCTTTCCGTCTAATCGGACAATAATAGTGAGGGAAAAGAGAGTGCACCTGTGCTTGTGCAAAAACTCGGGCACTATAATCTTGTCTTGCTCAGATGGCTGATATCCGTTGAGATTGGCTGCTGTGACAGAAATTCGATCTGGAGAACATTCGTGTAAACCATAATTGCGCTTTTTACAAGTCTTGTTACCGCCGCTTCCTGTCGCCGGTCTTTTTACTACATTAAGTGCATCCTATCTTACTAGTCCTACTATTCTTCTATCCTATTTCCAAATTTTATGATTAATGTGAAACTTTGCATGATGCTTTGATGTTTGTATGTTTGTTACTCAAAGACGCTTGCACTTTTGAAGGGATTTTAATAAAATTTGTCAAAAAAGTACACTTTATCATGATAAAGGAGTCGAAATACCCTTTATTAATAGTGAACGTCTTAGGGAGGTTGAGGCTACATCGACGCGTAAACTAGGTTCATCAATCTCGCACAAAGACGCAAAGTAACTAGCCTTTTGGTACCTTTAGCGCAGGTATTGCATAACTTAATTTTTCCCTCTCCCTTGCAACATTGTAGAACCAAACGCTCAACCATTCTCTAACCCTTCGTTGTCGACTTACAACGCATTCGAACCAAACGGTTTGCTTCATCGTGCGTTCAGCAAAGAAGCGGAATAAGTTGCCAGCATCTGTCTTTCTATCCAATTGCAATTTGGTTCCCTTAAAAGAATTTTTTTTAAAAGTACAAAAATAGGCTTTTGTTAAGGTAAGTCAGTGCGCTTTACAATCTTCGGCTATATCACCACTTACCACCATGTAGGATAGTGTTCAAGCACTGGCTTAGAATAGTTTAAAATATAGATAATTTAGAATCGTGTAGATAACGGCTAGCTAGTCTAATCATCACTCATCTGTCGGGAGTCAAAAGATATTCTGTAAAAAGACAAAAAGAAAATATCACCCAGAGGATGAGACAAGACGATGTTTGGTAAGTCTGATTCTATTAACAAATCGATCAACTCCACGGACAGCGTATAAAGGGGCAATTTGCACTTCAAGTTAATTTATCTTGCACCTTATAAAGGCCAAGCTATCGAACAATGCCTGCATGGGACATCCGTTAACGATTTTTTTTGTGTTATGAATTGAAAACCTAAGAATTGTGATCTCCTAATAAATTTTGTACATCCACAATTAAGTTAAATTGAGTACAATACTGCGATATATCATTATTAATAACAAAATTTATCTAAATCTTATCAAATATTAAAACACAAACAGTTAAAAGCCATGGCTCAAAATTTTATTAAGCATTCGAGTGCTCATCTCACACTACCGCAAGTATTCCGACAAAATTACCGTCCTTCCGACCAATTTATTTGCAAACAAAATGTCCAACATCGAGCGCTGTAAGTAAGAAATTCCATTTTATTGTCTACACTCTATTGAAACATAGCATAAAAGTAACGTTGGAACATTTAGGCAGTCCTCCTCTATTTAATTCTCAAGGAAAATTTTAAGGGCATCAGCGTAGAGACTACTTTGCTTGAGTTTAATGATCATTTACTATCCGAATAAAAAGAAGGGGACCAAGTAAGTATTGACCCTTGAGTAACTCCAGAACATGTGATTGGAGGCGACATTGCACTATGATGCTGCCTAATGCAAGCATACTGTGGACGAAGATAATCGGCAAAGAAATTGAGTAAATTTGATGTCGAACACTACATATACACTGGCTTTTCTAGTAGTAGATCGTAGTTAAGCCTATCAAACGCCTTACAGAAATCAAAGTAACGTAAGTATTAAAAAATATTTTGGTTAGGACAGGCATGCAAAATTATAAGATTGTAGCTTGCATGCCTGTCAAATAGGTTTCAAAGTGGCTCAAAGCGGTTTGTTTAAATAAATATACACTTGGCTGACACACTACCATGTGTCTAGTTAAACGAAATATCTTTGAGTAGGCTGCTAAAAGATATTTTAATTTAAATGTTTATATTCCCAAACCAGATAGGTCTTTTGTTCACTATATATAATATTAAAATATAAATATAGTTTTATGATTAAAAGTTATTTCACGAGTCTAATGAATATGTTGTTATAACAAATTATACAAGTCAATAAGGGTGCTATATCGCTATACTGAGTGAGGCTGAAGGCGCTATTTAACTTAAGTCTGTTACTAGAGTTGCTTAAAATACTACATCAATGTTAGGAGCCAAATGTCAACAATTTTAAAAATTAGGTAATTTTGAAGTGTACCTCTACAGAGCTGGTAGATCCCGGCGGTGATGATAATGAAGAGCGCCAGCAGCTTGGCGTACGTGAACCAGTCCTGCACCCGTGTGGCGGCGCGCACCGACCAGCAGTTCACGAACGTCAGGAACACTGCAAGTGACCAACGTATTACGCAACCCCATGTGAATATTTATTATTTTATGTGATGACAGAGATATTCTGACTGCATCTTCGAATACTAATAGTATTATTTGTTTTTAAAAAAAGAAATAAATTGCAATGATCTATTATTATCTACACATATTATTATGTTGTAATTATCTATTGGATATGATCTATTAATGTGGAGTTTTTTTTTATTAAAAATAATCAAAGACCTCTTAGTATTTTTGTCAAGCAGGCCATAAGCCACATAGAAACGCACTAACTTTCAATCGGAAAACATAAAACTTCTCCTGGCTGAGTGATGGCAGCGTAAAGAGAACTCATCACCCCATTTCTTCCTGTGGGTGTTGTAAGAGGCAACTATGTAAAATGCTAGAAAATTCTCGTGGCTTTCAATAAATAGCGTTGTAACTTATAACCAACCCCTAGACTAAAAATGTAACCAACTCGTTTCGTTTTTCGGGTTGTCTTTTTTGTGGTAATTCCCTACCTTAATGTACGGTAGTGAGTTGAGTGTGGCTGAAGAAGCACGAAAGTAAAAAAAATGCTGTAGAAATACGGTGACGATTATGTTAGGGGTGACAGTGAATAACAGATATATTTAATACCAAAGCTTTTTAATGAAATTGATTGGCTAAGGCAAGGTAGACCTAATTGCAAATTAATAATTAAAAAGAAGCTTGGGAATTATTTTTTGGATAAAATGCTAGATGCATGACCAGTTAGAAAACTGTTATTTGTTTGTAATATTTGAAAAATATGTCCGGATTATGTTTACAACTTTTTATTTTTTTATTTTGTTGCAATTTTATGTGGATGGGGTGTTGTATTTGGAACTGATAGAGTGTGGAAATTATAGTGTTTATGTTTAAAATTTCTATTTGTTTGTTATATTATGTGGGTTGAGTACTTATTTAATTATGTAATTAGGATATAAGAGTGCATTTATTCGCCAACAAACTGTCTTTACAGTTTGGCGAAGTTATAAAATTATGTAATGTTTTTTTTCTGTTAATGTCATTAAATAAATAAAAAAGGAGTAAAAATTGTGAGATAAGAAAAAAAATGTGGTTTGTAAGATATTATGACCGGAAAGAAAAGAATGAATGCCTGGTTCGATTATATAGAAAGAATGAATGAGGAAAGAGTGACGTTGCAGAAATGAGTCGCAGAGTCGGCGAGAACGTCTTAGACGAACGTTTATCAAAAATGGGCTAAATTAAGATTACCTTTAACCAATAGGCATGTATGTGTAGCTATAAGGACATGAAGAAGGCAAAGAAGTCTGTAGTCTGCCCTCTGGATGACAGACGTGAGTATTTATGTATGTATGTATGTAATACCACGTCTGGTCCAAATTCGACTTTTTATTTGGTTATGTAGGAAAATCATGGGTGGGTGGGAGCCCTTCACTATAGACATATTTTTTATATAATAAGGCTGACTAACGAGGACACAATGTGGACTGATGGTAAGTGGATGCCGTGGACATCTAAATTTATCAAAATGTAGCTGCGTTGTCACCTCTGAGAACTATGATGTAATGTCTCGTTTCAAGGAAATAGGGTCTCCAGTTGGAAGTTGACCAGCATTTGCCCCCTGTGATTCCTGCTTCCAAAACTGTGGTGTCCCAAAATTGATTCGGCGCCCGTGTGTTTACCCACTTTGGCATTAAAATCCCATACATTATTGGGCCTTTGGTATTACGTAAGGCCCTAGAAAGGTCTTCATAGACAGTTTCAACTTCGTCATCCGAATGTGCCGAGGTTGGGGCATAAACTTGTACGATCTTCAGAAAGTATCTCTTTGATAACTTAAGTACGCTACCCGTGTCGACACTCTGGAGATTTCTACAATGCTGTTAGTGAGGATCCTATGAACGAGGAAACCTACTCCACCTTAGGATAGGCCGTCTCACTCCCGAAAGTAGAGCAGATGGCCAGATTGCAGGATAATTGTGTACTCCCCCTCTATTCGGACTTCACTTAACCCTACAATATGCCATCTTATATTTTACAGCTCAACTTCCAGTTCGTAAATACGTCCGTCTTGCCGAAGAGTCCGTCGATTATATGTCGCCAAGTCCAGTTTGTCCAGGTGGTAACCTGTCCTCCCTCATGGATTCTTCGCACCCCCTGCCCCACCGTTGCCATGACGGCCGAGAATAACGGAGCGACCGGGAACTGGGGCCGTGTTTTTGTGGTGCTGCTCATTGGAGGATTTGCCATTAATCGCCACGCTGGGCAAGCGGGTCAGCGATCGCATTGCCAGACACATCGCACCTGTGACGCTACTGCCCATCACAGATCTGGGCATTTTTGGTCTGACGAAGACTCGAATGGTTATGCCGCCATCTAACGGAAGCCTTAAGTTCTCCTTTTTTTTAAAGGTATTTCCCTCTGTCGGCTCGTACGACATCCACGGAATTAAAAGGAGTAACAGTATTCTAGGCAGCTGCCACACAGCATATTTTTGGATTAGCTAAACCGATTGTAATAAAAATTCACAAAGAGATAGAGAGCAACGCCAGGAGTCATCTAGACTATATTTCATGAGAAAATCTTGGCGATGTTTTTTGTGAAATCAAAAAATATATAAAATAAATGGTCATTGATGATTATTTTTTATCTACATGATGACATAGACATTTACTATATTGCATAGATGACTAAGCAATAGAGTAAATGGGGCCCTGCACTCTATTGTGAAGAGTCAAAATGTGTTGAAAAAGGCACGTATGGCAATTCACAATGCTGTGTTGGTCCCTACTTTAACGTATGGTAGTGAAAGTTGGGTGTGGCAGAAGAAGCACGAGAGTAGAATGAACGCAGTAGAAATACGGTCGTTAAGGAGTATGTTAGGGTTGAATCTGAATGACAGGGTGAGAAATTGTGTGACAAGAGAAGAGTGTAGTTTGCAAGATGATGTTGTGACCAGGATTAAGAAAGGAATGCTTCGGTGGTTTGGTCATGTGGAAAGAATGAATGAAGAAAGAATGACAAAGAAAATTTATGTTTCAGAAGTGAATGGCAGAGTCGGAAAGGGACGTCCTAGGCGAAAATGTATCGACCAAATTGGCGATTTATTGAAAATGGGCCAAATTAGGAGTACCCTTAACCGAAGAGCATGTAGGTATTTGGATGTGAAGGAGGCGAGAGAGGTGTGTCAGGATCGTGTCAATCAAGTCTGTAGTCTCTGCCTACCCCTCTGGGTGACAGGCGTGAGTGTTTATGTTTGTAATGACATAAATGATCACCCAAGCGAAGAATATAACTTACGTATACAACATGCTGCTAACAATCTCGTAGCGTCTTCAGGTGGATCGCATTCAGGAAATATTGGCTTCAGGACGTACACGCTGAACGTTAATGCAATAATTGCCTGTGAGTTAGAAATAAATTACTTAGTTATGCACTTAAATTTATAAAAAAACGAGAATACTTGAAGTCCGCCAACATGCAATATGGCAGCACAGTGAGCTACATCCTGTCCCAAAACTCTCTCAGAAATGAGAGACCTATGCCTCGTAGAGGTGCAATAATTATTTTAAAATATTAATATTATAAATTACTTTAAGAGTAAAATAAAGTGTTTGAACTTTCTACTCCTATGTACACGAGGTCTCCTTAAGAAAAGATTGGACATGGTCTTCCAAAAAGGTCTTCCATGTGCCATCAGGTATGCATTTCTTAAAATTTTTAATTCCGTTCTCAGCTATGTTTTTAAAAGATTTTTTTTAAATATAACCTTACAAGCTATACGAGTATTCATCATCATCATCATCATCATCATTACAGCCCTTCACAAGTCCACTGCTGAACATAGGCCTCCCCCAAGTGATGCCACAAAGCACGGTCTTGAGCCACCTGCATCCATCGACTTCCTGCATGTCTTACCAGGTCGTCACTCCATCTAGTGGTGGGTCGCCCTACACTACGCCTACCGGTACGAGGCTGCCACTCGAGAACCTTTCTTCCCATCGGTTATAGGTTCTTCGAGATATATGGCCGGCCCATTGCCACTTCAGCTTAATAATCCGTTGGGCTACGTTGGAAGACGCTTGGTCCTTCACTGCCGGCCATATGAGGACGCTCAAGGTTGCTCAGCGAGCTATGGAGAGGGCTATGCTCGAAGTTTCTCTGCGTGATAGGCTCAGAAATGAGGATATCCGCAGTAAAACCAGAGTGACCTACATACGAGTATTATATTGACAAAATATACGGTAGTTTTATTTTCACATTCAGTGAAGACAAATTGTATATTGCGTCGTAACAGACAATAAAATCTTTTATCCAATAAAAGACTTAATAGGGTTTTATCTGTATCAAGATGTAATTTAAGCAATGAAGGGAATCACATTTTATCACTGGTGTTATTACTTCTAAAGCTACTATATAGCTTTTATCAAGCAATGTGAGGCACACATTTTACTGCAAATGTATATTATGTTACTTTATAAAATATTAGTTTTCACGTTATTGTTTTTTAATTATGTCAATATGAGGAAACTCAAGGTTGCTCAGGAAGCTATGAGAAGAGCTTTTTTATAGAATAAGGATGCCAAACAAACACACAGTCCACCTAATGGTAAGTGAATGCTGTGGCGAATAAACATCTACATTTATACTAGATTAAGAATCAAAAAGCAGAAACGTTGTCTGAATGCCTCGTGTCTAGTAAAAAAGATCTCCGGTTCTCTACACACACCATACGAAACACAGTCGGATTAAGCTGCTATTTTAAGCTGGTATTCTGTGTGAGCGTGGACCGCCCCATTCCAGGCGACACATTCGTGCTACAACCATTAGCTGCACAACACTACTAAGTATAAACGTTTGTCTGAGTGATAAAATACATAATAAAGATAACCGCAGTAGTAGATACCAGACTGACCGACATAACCGTACGGATTTGTAGGATGAAGTTACAATACAAAGGCCAGCTATATAATTCGAAGCACCGACAACTGAAGGAGAAAAAAGTTTCTATAGTTTCTGTCTGGTATTGGTAAGCAAGGGGCAAGCTTTAACAGGGACTGCTTTTACGTGGTAGAGCTATTCTGTAGCTATATTTGTAGTATAGTTGTAGCACGAAGGGGTTGGTCACCCAGTCATGACTCAGCTGTAATATAGCTTTAGCGTGACTACCAGGCATAAGCAAGCTCAAGCTCGGTTTGTATCTGATACTAGGATTATCTCTGGATTGGTGCTACGAAGTGTATACTAGCAGCCTTTGACTCACTGAAATGGCTCGCGAAAAGGCTTGAATATATTTGATGATAAACTTTTCGAAGCAGAACCAGAATTAAACATTGTACACCGTTGCAGAGTTGTATAGTACTATAGACTCTTTCATCCATTAGAGCACTTTCCAAGTTTTGTTTTATACGATAAGCATGATAAGCGAGCATACAGTCCACCTGATGGTAAGTGGTTGATGTAGCCCATAGACATCTACTAGTACATCTATCCTCGATTACGAATCAAAATGTAGATGCGTTGTCACCGGTGAGGACTAAAATGGAATGCCTCGTTTCCAGTAAAAAGGGGTTCTCTACACTCACCATACGTAACACAGGAGCGTTAAGCTGCTATTTTACGCAGGTATTGTGTGAGAGCGTGGTCCTTCGCGCGTCGAAATAACCCCTTCGTGCTACAACTATACTACTAATATAGCTGCAGCGTGGCTCTACCTCCTAAACTACTTACTAAGGTCCTTTAATTTCAGTAAGCCATAATGCATGTAAAAATTATAGTCGCTTGATTACGACATGTGCAAACAATTCAACAGCAACTGTATTCCTTTAATATGTAGAGATAGGTTAATCTTAATTGTCAGAGGTGACAATACATCAGTGATCTTGCTTGATTGATGTCGACTACAGGTGTCTATGGACTTATATACCCACTTACCATCAAGTGGACTGTAAGTACTTTTTTCACTTCAGGTTTTTAAAAATGTTGATGAGTGTAGATGCAGTTTTGGTTGGCAAAACTCTATTCAACTGTTTGACTGCCTCGTTGGTCTAGTGGTTGTAGTAGTGCGAATGCTGATCATTAGGTCCTAGGCTCTAATCCCGGGTCGGGCCAAAAAATCAATTACTGAGTTTTTCAGTCAAGAAATTCTCAGTGGCTGCTCGGAGTCAGGAAGTTGGCGATGTCTCACCCCTGTGCCTCGGAAAGCACGTGAAGCCGTTGGTCCTGCGCCTGAACTCTTTCCGGTCGTGTCAGTTTACTGGTCCATCGGATTATGAGAGTGAGGGTATAGAGAGTGCACCTGTGCTTGCGCATATACTTGGGCACCATAATCCTACCCCGCGCCGATGGCTAGTCTCCGATGATGACAACCGCCGTGACAGAAATTCGGTCTGGAGGACATTACTAAAAAACCTATTCACTTTTCTCTTGTCGGCACGACACTGTATCCGGACGAAGATTGATGCAGGAAAATAACACTAAACCTTTGCTGTACCATATTAGAAGCAAAACTAGAATACTTAATTTGAATGTTTGATACAAACAATTGAACAAGGAAGCATACCATCGGAGCTTGCTGTTCGATGGTGAAAAGGCAACGAAAAAATTAAACCGTTTAATTTCTGCGAGCACTTCCCAAAATGATAATCCTATATAATGAGAATCTAATGTAATATTATGAGAATCCTTTAGAACAACAAGAGACTGGTCATCCTACCTCTGTACTCGAATCTAAGTATAGGCACGTAATCAACCTATAAGCTAGTAAATCCAAATCTTATTTTTCTAAAATATTTTTTTAATATTGTAAATAACGTTACCTCCACACTAAGGTTTCCTCCTGTATTGTAGGGGCACTTTACGTACATAAATTGTACAAGGACAAAAACCCAGACCCGGAAATATTATTTGTAGGCCGTACAAATATTTGTTCCGTGCGAGATTCGAACCCGCGGCCCTAGGCGCTGGAACTCATTGCTAAGCAACTGCGCCACGAAGCAGTCATTAGTTGATGATAAACAGCGCTAGCTGTGGTCGTGGCCATATAATGTGACAGTTATGAAAATTACTTGACCACAATAGTTTCGTTGATCTGAATCTGAGGTACCCACCTGGGAGCACGGTCGGACTATCATGCACTCGATCCAGAGTCGGATGAAAGCGGCAAACGGCCCGAAAGTCTCCATGATGTACGCATAGTCGGCTCCACTCAGGCGGATCATTGTCCCCAACTCAGCGTAACAGTAGGCGCCGATCTGTTGAGATATGGGTCCATTAGTTCCTTACTGATTTTATCGTTGGAAACATTAAAGCGATTCACTAATAACAATTAAAAAATAACATCACAGGCACTGGGGTACTACCCCAGTGATTATGGTATATAATAAGAGAATCTGCCATTTCATGTCGTCCTGTAATTGTAGTAAATGTGCGAATGAAACAAGTAGTAAAATGAAAAAGAACATCATCAATGTAGTCGAAGTCAATTAAATACAAATTACTAAGGATAACTCAAAAACTACTGGTCAGTTCTTGATCAAATTTATATGAGACCACTGAGTAGCACCAGCTTTACTTCTTAAAAAAATCTAGTAAAAAGTTTTGAGGACACATGAAAAAATTCAGTCGAATTGAGAACCTCCTTCTTTTTTCAACCAACCCAGTGGCTATGATATATTATGATAAGAGAATCTGCCAATTCATTTCGGCCTGTAATTATAGTAAACATGCAAATGAAAAAATTATGTCATGACTTCCGAAATTTGACGATTAACCGCCGTGACGGACGAATTTAATAAAGCGCACAAGTATTACTTTACAAGAATTTTTAAAACCTACAATTAATTTTATTGTAAGAAGTCATAGGTCAATAGGCTTTTTTATTCATATTTCATCAAAGAATATTAAAAAAAAAATCTTTTATATTTTATTATTTTTCTGTATGTTTTATGGATCAAAAGTGTCCGGGTTTTTCAAACGTATCAAAATTCATATCTCCGAAAATATTAAATTTATCATAAGAAGTCATAGGACATTTTTTACTCGTATTTCATTATAAAATATAAAAAAATTATCCCGTTGAAAATAACATTTTCTTGTAGTTTAAAAAATTCGCTTTAAACAATATGGCACCGATTTTCCCCATGGCAATATGTATTTATATAATCAGTATGACAATTTGACGAGAATCGGGGTGTGGGGGTAGGGGTTTAAAAAAAAGAAAAAAGAATCTTATAAAAATTGAGGAGGAATACTTATACGTCGATTTCTCCTGGACTAAAAGCTATCGTGTTCCAGATTGCAGGATAACATTAGCTAGTATGATTACAGCCTGTAAGATACAAATTCTTAGGCTTAGTCTCTATATTAAAAAGTTTTGTTTCCCCCCACGATTCGTTTTACAGTACACAAAGTTTTTGAAGAATTTAAAGATGGGCAATGGGCAACAGCTGTTTTCTGATAACAAATCGGAATAATAAAACACTACAGTTGCAAAGCGTGAGAAATGCCTCCTATGAGGCAATATATCCTATGTTCAGCAGTGGATCTTGATAGGTTGTAATGATAATTATAATTATGATCACTAAATGATGGACTAAGTGATGGTGATAGATGATAGATGAAGGTTCTTTGATTTTTATGTTGGCCTAATTTGCCGGACAAAAAGCTTTTGAAGAAAGTGTCATTACATGCACTTCGTATATTATTTTAAAATGACTGTAAGGGTGTTACCACACCAATCGATCGATCGATTATGGGATGGATTGGTCAACGTCGACCGAACTGCTTGCTGCTGCTACTTATTCGAGAACCCGCCCTGCTTTACCGACAAAGAAACATTCATTATCGATCGATGTCAATCTATGATTGAACAACGTTTTATCGACCAGTATCCGTAGATCAACTAAAGCTACCACACCAATCAATATACATCGATCGGTCGATCAGTGGCATCGATCTACGATCCTGGTGATACTACGGAGAACAAAAGATTTTTTGAGTATAAGATTCGGGTGTTTTAATCCTCACTTTGAATTAGGAGAGTCGTAGATGGACTGATAGTCTTGGAAATATTGTATTACCCGAATGTAAGCAATTATCATTGTTTGTCCATTCTATCCATCTATTACAAGCCTGAGGACTGACGAGGGTTTTTTGGGTAATCCTCAAGTCCGGCAACTTGTTCTATCACCGGGAGGGCGACCATCTGTCCCAAGGAGGTATCGGATTTCTCGTCCACAAGTCTCTCGTCAACAACGTTGTAAAGATTGGGGATATGTCGACGAAGGTCGCGTACCTGATACTCAGAATCACCAAACGGTATTTGCTGAAGGTCATACAGGTTTACGCACCAACCTCGGCACATCCCGGTGGAGGTGGAATAAATGTATGAGGATATTTCTAGAGCCATGCATTCTTCCAAAACCCACTACACGGTGTTGATGGGAGACTTCAAGGCAAAACTAGGTACAAGAGAAAGCGGTGAGCTGAAGTTAGGGAAATTTTGTGTAGGGCAACGGAACCGTAGGGGCCAGCAGCTGGCCGACTTTATGGAGAAAGAGGGACTCTTTATCATGAAATCTTTCTTCCAGGAGCGACCCCACAGGAAGTGGACCTGATCGAGCCCCGACGGTTCGAAAAAAAAATGAGATTGACTGCATTATGACGACCAGACGTTAACTTTTCAGTGATGTCTCAGTGACCGCAAGGGTGAAAACTGGCAGCTATCACCGAATGGTTAGAGGCACACTGAACCTAAACGCTCCGTCCCCCTCGTGCTCTAATCCAGAATCCCGAAACCTTTCAGCTCGAGTTACGTAACCGCTTTCAGTGCCTAGAAGATTGCAATGCAGTGGACGATATGAATGACAAGCTCGTGGAAACTGTCCATGCGGTCGGAGCTAAGTTCTGCAAGACCCACCGCAGAAGAACACAAAAATTCTCCGATCACACTCTTAATCTCATGGCTGTTAGACGGGAGATGAGGCTGCAATCGTCAACAGATTTGACATCATACAGACAACTGAACAGACATATCTCCAAATGCATGCGGCGAGACTTACGCAACTTTAATACTGCTCGTATTGAAGAAGCGATCGAGCGGAATCAGGGCTATAAAGTCTTTTCCAGAGATCTGTCTGCCAGTAAGAGCCAACTGTCAAAGCTGAAGACTGAGTGTGGCATTATCGTTTCCGGGACACCCGAGATTCTAAGTGAGATTGAGAGGTTCTATGGGCAGCTGTACACATCATCGTTGGAGCCACACGCAAGTATGAGTAACGATCCAAGAGCGAGTCTTATCCGACACTATTCCGATGATATCCCGAACGTCAGTCTAAGCGAGATTAGAATGGCTCTCCAGCACCATAAAAACGGAAAGTCCCCGGGCGAGGATGAAATTACAGCGGAGCTTCTGAAAGCGGGTGGAAAATCGGTACTTGAAGTCCTTCAGAACCTCTTTAATTCTGTCCTCCATGGAGGCACTACTCCCGAGGCGTGGAGCAGAAGTGCGGTGGTCATGTTCTTCGAGAAAGGTGACAGCGCCCTCTTGAAGAACTACAGACCGATATCTGTTTTCGAGAGTCATTACGAACCGTCTCGCACGCAGACTCGACGACTTCCAGCCTCCCTAACAAGCTGGTTTCCGAAAAGGCTTCTGTACTATAGACCACATACATACCCTTCGGCAAATTGTACAGAAGTCCGAAGAGTACAATCTGCCACGTTGCCTTGCGTATGTGGACTATGAGAAGGCCTTTGATTCCGTCGAAATCTTCAGCGGTGCCAAGTTCACTGTCGGTATATCGAAGTGTTGGAGTGTTTGTACAGTAGGGTTACGATGGCTATCCGAGTGCAGAACCAGAGTCCGTAACCTATCCAACTGCAGAGAGGTGTAAGACAGGGTGACGTTATTCCCCAAAACTCCTCATCGCTGCATTGGAAGACGCTTTCAAGCTACTGGACTGGAAAGGATAAGGATACATCAATGGCGAGTACATCACTCACCTTCCTGTGTACGAGTGACGACCTGGTAAGACATGCAGGAAGTCGATGGAAGCAGGTGACTCAGGACCGTGCTTTGTGGCATACCTTGGGGGAGGCTTATGTTCAGCAGTGGACTTGTGAAGGGCTGTAATGATGATGAGGATGATGAGGTATATTGTCCAAAGTCCGCCACATGCCACGTATGCCATTTTGTTTTGGTTTCTTTTGAATCACGTTAATACCGTCCACTTGATCGTTCGCCCCGCCATACCTTTGGTCACTTTTCGTGCACCCAGGGGAATTCAACAAACGAAGGATATATTTTTATAATTTTAAGTTGCTATCAGGAAGATGCTGCTGCACATCTTCTGTTTCATTTCCACGCCTTATTCCATTTAAAACTTCTTATACCTAATACGTGAAGGAAAACCTTTGTACCCCTTTGTTGAGCATGTTGTGGAGCGTGCGATTTGGCATAATTATATAAAGTTTATATGGAGAAGAAGTGCACTTTAAAGTTTATATGGAGAAGTGCAGAAAGCTAAAATAAATGTTACGAATATTATTAATTAAATAAAATACCTGTTCATTGTTTACATTGCCAATGTTAAAACACATGATAGTGTATTTGGATAATCGTGTGATACTTTATCCAAGATGGTATGTTGTGGCACAGAATAAATAACAGTACTACGTATGTGGTAAACGGTAAACAGTCGCACAGAGCAGACATTGATTTTGTAGCCAAATAATTTAATAATTAATACCTAATTTTGGGTCATTTCAAATGTTCTTTTTTAATTAGTTTATGGTATGAAAGTGAAATAAGCTTTGTTAATACATAAACTTAAAAATTTTATGAATTACGGTCGAATTATGACACCTAGGCGACCACTAGTAAAAATAATAAAGTGTATTGATATATTCACAAAGTCTTGTAATAATTTATTTTTAAAACGGATTAGGTAAATGCAGCAGTGGTCAAACAAATGGGCGTTACGTCAGCCGATCGGTCAGGGGGCAGTTCGTCGATATCAATATATTAATTGAACATACCTCCAGCCAGATAACTGTGACGCTGCGCTGATAGCTGACGTTACTTTAAAATGCTTACAGAGTTGTTAAATTTTGAATCAATTCGCTTTTATGATTTTATTTTAATTACGTTAATATAAGTTATCTTATATATCAAGTACCGATAAGTATATACTTACATACAACATGTAACATAAACACTGTGGGCCCCGTTTATCGTTATCAGAATCAATAT